CACTGACGTCGACAATGGCTGAAGCCTCCCTAGAGCTCCGCCCGTTGGGCAACACCAACCTTAAGGTCAGCTGCGTGGGCTTTGGCGCCTCCCCTCTCGGCAACGTTTTCGGGCTCGTCCACGAATCCGACGCAATCGCCGCCGTCCGCCGGGCTTTTAGCCTCGGAGTCAACTTTTTCGACACCTCCCCGTAATTAATTTCCCCCGTTAATCTGTTTGTTCTGTTAAGAATCTTATGGACTTTTTTCTATTTCCGATGATTATGTTGATTCTTTTGTTGGTTTGTAATTGGCAGTGCAAATCGTGTTTGTAAGAGTGGCCGATCTAATTCAATTGCACAAATTCTTGTAGGAGCGTGTAATCATTAGTAGGATCGACTTTTTAGCATACTTTTGTCCTATGAAATGTCATATTTTTGTGTATGTTGTATGACAAAAGTAGCTTGTGGATGCTTTAGGTACTATGGGGGAACATTATCCGAAACAATGTTGGGGAAAGCATTGAAGGCTCTGGGAGTGCCTCGAACCGAGTACATTGTATCGACAAAATGCGGGCGGTATGTAGAGGGTTTTGATTTTAGTGCCGAAAGAGTGACGAGGAGCATTGATGAGAGCCTAGAAAGATTGCAGCTCGATTATGTTGATATCTTGCAGTGCCACGATATCGAGTTTGGCTCACTTGACCAGGTCATCCCTTTCGATTTTTACTGAGAAAATGGTGTCTTGAGCTTATATTACCATATCATGTCTAATTTGTGTCTGTTCAGCTCTTGGAAGTTGCTGAATGAGTGAATGTAGTGTTTTTGACACAGTTTGTCTGATTGTAGTTGTTTCAATTGATGGAATTATGGAACTTTAGTACATGGTTGTTCTTTTGTTCGTGATTCGTAATTGCACTAGATGTTATTTTTGTTCCTTCTCCAAAGGAGAGTACAATCAAAGAATCTCCTGCAGTCTTTTCTACCAATTCATAGCTTACATTCAAGTTGCTACCAAATCTTTTTTTTGTGTGTGCGTGTGCCGTGTATGCGTTATTTCTTCTTTGTCATGGATGATGAACAAAAAGTTCAATTCAGATCCTTTTGGCCCTATGTTTGTTTTGGTGTATGATTCCTAACTTGAAACTTTTCTGAGCGTGTGTATGTCTCTTTTTGTATTTCGTCACTACTTGTTATAGACTTAAATTTTTGGGGTTGGTTTTTCTGTGAACAGATTGTGACTGAGACTCTCCCAGCACTTGTTAAACTGAAGGAATCGGGAAAGGTGAAATTCATCGGTATAACAGGGCTTCCACTGGAAGTTTTCAGTTACGTTCTTGATCGTGTGCCACCTGGGACAGTCGACGTAATTCTCTCATATTGCCATTACAGTATAAATGATTCCACCTTGGAGGATTTACTGCCTTACTTGCAGAGTAAAAGTGTCGGTATAATAAGTGCTTCTCCACTAGCAATGGGTCTTCTTACAGAAAGTGGCCCTCCCGAGTGGCACCCTGCTTCCCCCGAACTAAAGGTGGGTGCTTTTTCAGTGGATAATATTCACGGATAATATACATTAGGATTACTCTTGTTACCAATTACATACCCAATTGCCTTCTGAAATTACTAACACCATTGACAATTGTTTTTCTTATACAATTGCATCCTAAAGAAGGGATATTTGTTTTGGGGTAATTGTTGATTTTGAAAGATAAATGTTCCATTTTTTCCCAATTATCACTATTAGTAGTAGGTTCTCAACTATTCTTGCAAGTCGATGTTTCTTACATATATCTGTCCTTAAGCTTCTTAACGTTTTTCCTCTTCAGGCCGCATGTCGAGCTGCTGCTGCTCATTGTAAAAAGAAAGCAAAGAATATTTCAAAGTTAGCCATGCAATACAGCTTATCTAATAAAGGTATCTCAACAATCTTGGTCGGGATGAACTCGGTCAAACAGGTTGGTGTTCCTCTATCTCAGCCACACAATCTCCAAACATCGTCACTTTCTAATGCTAATTATAATCAGGTTGATGAAAATATTGAAGCCGCACTTGAGCTTGCAACTGCTGGAAAGGATGAACAGACACTGTCAGAGATCGAAGGCATTCTGAAGCCCGTAAAAAATCAGACGTGGCCTAGTGGCATTCAGCAAGGTTGATAAGCTAAGTTTTTTCAGGAGGACCCGTTGTTTATGTACCAAGCACAATGTAAAATTTGTATTTTTTCCAAGTTTTTCATATGGATTTCACTTGGCCATCTTGTTATAGTGATTTTAATTTATAACTAGTATTCGACCTGTGCATTTGCACGTATATATAAATAAAGTATTGTGAGTTATTCGTATGCATATAATGATTGATGATTTTTGCCAAATTTACAATTAAAGGAGCTGAAATATTTATTTTTTTTTTAAATCATGTTTATCATATTGGATGTAAAATATATTTTGATATGTATTTTTTTATGAATTATTTATTATTTATTTAGAAATTTCAAATACGTTTTTATTTTCCAAAAGAAGTTAATTTAAATATAGCCACAACAATAACATCTAATCACGTTAAATAGTCAACACATTATATGGTCAGCTGTAAGTAAATAAAAAATTTAATATGATTTTTGTAATTGAAGTGATTAGTGTGTTGATTATGTAATAATTAAATGAGAGGTTAAATAAATAAAAAGTAACGATTATTGGAGGGAAAAAGATTATATTGCCATATAGGTATAATTTAATAGGTTTTATAAATGCTCATGAGCCAACAATTATATATATATTATTATTATTATTATTATTATTATTATTATTATTATTATTATTATTATTATTATTATTATTATTAAAAAAACAATTGTTTATGAGATTCTAAAGTTATTTGACTATGCCATTAAAATAATTTACTAATTGTTTTTTTTTTAAAAAAAAATCATGAGATGTATTAAATCCATTAAGCAAAATTAAGTAATCCAACCAAAATTAATTGGAAAATAATAATTATTTATTATTTAAATAAAGATATGTATTAAATCCATTAAGCAAGTCTCACAAGTAATTTTTATCATTTAAATTAAAATAAAAATATATTTTTTCATAAATATTTATAAATTTGAAATAAAATTGTCTATTTTTATTTTTATTTTTGTTATACCCTAAAATATCCGACCATACAGAAGACATGATACAAATTTAAGCCCAAAGGTCGGACAAAGCCCAAAGCAAAGAATTCATCCGTCCAAACAAAGGCCATTAGAGTTGCCGGTCACCTGATCAATGATCACCCACGAAAGATTCCTAGGGATGATTGACAATCACCTTTATCGTCTGAACTGGCAAAGTGATAGCATCGTCCAAACTGTGACATCCACTTTTACATGAAAACACGTGAAGTCATCCTACGCCTCAAGCTGACACTCCGCATTTACACTGCCATCCCTTTTTCGTGTATAAAGTCCTGACCCTCAAGTCCGAAAGAAGCAAGCTAACCTATTAATAGAAAGCATCGCAAGGGTCAAACATTACATTATTGTTCTTTCACATACTTCTATAGAATACATCTTCTATTTCTCGAATATCACATACCCAAATACTCCTCACACTTGGTTGTATTCAATATATAAATTTCCTAATAAAATTCTATAGAAATCGTCTCCTTGTCGATCACATATCATATTCTTTTTGCGTATATTTATTATATTTCGATCTCCTCTTCTTCCTTATTTCTAAAAATACACCAAAATTATTGTAACCGTTGACGACCTATCGTCAACAATTTTTAATTATGATTTTTTTATTAATGCATGTATAACGCACTGCCTAAAGTATTATTTCTCAAATGATTTTACGTCATCTATTAATATATAAAATGCTAATGATTTATCTAAACTAGTAGTAAGTAAAATCTCGCTTAAATAATTATTGTTACTAAAGCTGGAAAACATCTTTTAGAAATATTTGAAAATATTTAAATAATTTCACCTGAGACACATGTTTGAATTTGAATAAACTCAAAAGTGAAGTCAATCTCACGTTTCAACTGCGTGATTAATTTCCAAAGCCTGAGACACATCTTGGTTAAATTTAAAATTCAAAAGTGAAGTTAATCTCACATTTCAACAACGTGAATTAATTTCTAAAAAAATATGATGCCTATAAGAATTCTGTATTTTCTAATAAATTAGTTTCCTTAAAATATGGCCGCATACAAAATTCAAAGCTTGAAGATTATTAATTAATATTTCGTCAAATATTCGGTCATGTTTATATCGTACGTTCTCCTACCTTGATTTGTAAGGGGAAAAAAAAGTAAGAATTAACCTAGAAGTTCAAGTTTAGCTAGAGTTTAGCGAGAAAGATTGGCTAGCGTGTGTTTATTTTTAAAAAAATGAGATAAAAGTTTATATTATCGTACCTAAAAATAATTCATTTATTTAGAGCATAAATAAGTTCAAACGGAACAAGACTATTAGGTCTCATTTACTTTGTATGATGGGATAAGACAAAATAATCAAGATAACTTTACACGTCAGTATTTAGTCAATTGTATACTTTTCGAGATGAAATTTGCATAAAATAAATCCCTCATTTATTTCCCTGGGATGAGTGAGATGATTAACAAATATAAGACTACATTACCCTTCTGTACGAAATCGATTTCATCCTTCTCCCCCAATCACATTGTACTCATCTTCTGATACATTTTTTGCCCTAATTCAGCTGAGGATGTGCGCGACGACGAGAGGCGGCAACTTTGCCCTAATACAAACCATTATTTTTATATAAATTATATGACAATTTAGATGCTTTTAACATTTTACTAGTTAAATTGATACAACATTTTTTAATAAATTAATGTAGATAGATTGTATTAAATATTAGCTCAAATTTCTAATTTAAATGTTTAATAAATATTGTATGCATCACATGTATACTGATATTAATAAAAAAGATAAAAAGAAAATAGAAAAACATTGAGCACTATTCCAAACACACAGTCCACAGAGCTTTCTCGCTCATCGACAAAAATGGCGGCCACGAGAGTGATTGCGTCGGCGGGCCACGCCATCTCCGGCGCTATGCTCTCGAGAGCTCCGCTGAGAGTAAAACCTCAAAGCCTCAGTTTCATCTTCAAAAGCAACAGCAGGTCGTCGGGGCAAAAAAGGCGGCTGTTCAGTTGTAGCGCGATATACAATCCCCAAATTCGGATTCAGGAAGAGGGCCTGCCCGAAACCCTAGACTACCGCGTATTCTTCCTCGACGATTCTGGGAATAAGGTTCGGAAAATCTTACTTTGTTGTTGTTATTGAGGTTTTAATTGGCAATTTTGAGATTTTGATATTTAGTTCAGATAATTGAATTTATTTGAAAAGCTGCATTCTTTGTATATTTTTTGTCAATTTTTAGTTGTGGTTAGTAATGTTGCTTGTCTCGTTGATCCTCGGATTATGTGTATGAGTTATCTATGATGTTTCCTGTTAGTATGTATCAGTTATGTGAAGAGCTAAGCATGAATATTAAGAATTTGGAAATTCAATAATGAGTTCAATTTATACTATCAATGGCAGTGAGAATAAAGATGGCAAAGTCGAAAACAATATAATTTAAAGGTAGCACATTGACATGAAGATAAGGGAATCGTTTTGTATTTGTACAATGAATGTGAGCTAATGCCAAGTACTGTCACTACTTGGTGTGCAGATTTCCCCATGGCATGATATACCATTGCATTTGGGAGATGGCGTATTCAATTTCATTGTCGAGATTCCAAAAGAATCGAGTGCTAAAATGGAGGTTGCTACAGATGAGGTTTTTACTCCTATTAAGCAAGATACGAAGAAGGGCAAACTTCGATACTACCCGTAACTATTTTTTTCTTCTAGGCTTTTGGCTTTTCTAGTCCTTCATATGATTCCCAAATTGTTTATTAGTGTAAATTTTGTGTTACTTATGCACAACTCATGTACTCCTCGGCACCATTGGTAAGTAAACACACAGGTATAGTAAATAATCAAAGTCGCAATTGGCAAGGTTTCATTCTTTTTTTAGTCATTTATAGGATATTTGGAGCCTGAGTTTGTTCGATTTTTGGATCCAGGGATTCCAAATCTTGGTTGTCTAGTATTTTGTGGATAATGAAAATCCTTTTCCGTCACAAGGATTAATATACGATTATAGTACTGGTATCAGATCACCTCTCAAAAGTGGACTTTGCATTATACTGTACTTAGTTATATTTTATTTCATGTGTATAAATAATGTAGAAGTTTGAATCCAATTTTTACTGCAGACTTGGCACAAATTGATATTAGCACAAGTTATTCAAATTGGTAATCGAAAACATTTGCTTTCTGTGTTGATTGTTTGTTCAAAATTGTATTTGTTTCGCTTTTGTAGCTACAACATTAACTGGAACTATGGACTGCTTCCACAAACATGGGAAGACCCGTCTTTTGCAAATGTTGAAGTTGAGGGAGCATTTGGGGACAACGATCCAGGTACACGATAATCGATTTTTATTATTTTATTTGCCTTTTCTTATCGAATAAAGATAGCAAAAGCCATAAATAAGGTAAACCAAAGAAAACCTTAATAGTTAGTACTTTTTTTTCCATAGTTGATGTTGTTGAGATTGGGGAGAGCAGAGCTAAAATCGGGCAAGTGTTGAGAGTGAAGCCCTTGGCTGCTTTGGCTATGGTCGACGAGGGGGAGCTTGACTGGAAAATTGTTGCGATCTCATTGGACGACCCTAGAGCTTCCCTTGTTAATGACGTGGATGATGTCGATAAGCATTTTCCGGTAAAATATACTACTTATAAACACTGCAATTCTAGTTCATGAATCATATGATAGAATGAAAAATTTTCCTCTGTTAATTATTATTCAATGAAAATTTTCTGCTACTCAACTTGAAACTCATTTGCACAACCTGTTATAGGGAACTCTGAGTGCAATAAGGGACTGGTTTAGAGATTACAAGATTCCTGATGGTAAACCGGCTAACAAGTTCGGTCTTGGCAATCAGCCAGCAATTAAGGTATTGTTTCAACTTATTCTTCAGAGGCAGATTTCCATTTTAGGGCCACTCTGTAATCTTTGTTTTTATACAGGATTTTGCTCTAAAGATTATAATGGAAACAAATGAGGCGTGGGCTAAACTCGTAAAAAGATCGATTCCTGCTGGCGAACTTTCTCTTGTATGAATACGGTCCTTAAGACTTTTATCTGTCCAGATTCTCTCATCACCAAAAATAAAATATATATAAAAAAAAAAAAAGTTTCTATTCAATGACTAAGATGGATCAGTTTAGCATTGCAACTGGGTTCTATGCTGATTGCCCTTATTCCTAAACATTTTATTTTATTATTTATCAAAATGAAGAGAT